ATGGCGAGGCAGAGGACGGAGCGTGGAGTGGAAGAGCAAAGTGGAAGCCGGTGAGCAGCCCCCGGCCGCGCAACGCTCTGCTTGGGCTCTAGCTGCCCGCATCCGAGCGCTCTCGAGAGCGGGAGAGAGCAAAAGTTAAATAAAAGATTCCATGTCCTTAAAAACAAACAAACAAAAAGGAATGTTTCAGTGTCGGCCCTGGTTTAATCTGAACTTTAATGTTTTCTAGCAAGACCTCAGTTATTTCAGCCAACGTTGGACCAGTTTATTCCTTATAAAGGATGGAAACTGTATTTTTCTGAAGGTACTTCTAGACTCTATTTACTTATAATAAATACTCACTTTTCCTTGGAATTACTTGTAATAGTTGGGATAAACTAAATGGGATGCAGCTAAAGCTTGGTATATGAAAGTAAGGATTCAGTAGAAATTTTATGGCATACTGCGATCTCTGTGGGCTACAGAGCTTGGAAAGAAGCCTTAGGTAATGTAAAATATTATTTTTCTTAAACCTGGCCCATTTGCCATGTAAAACCTCCACTCCACCCAGGAGTGGAATAAATGTACCTCAGTGAACACTTCATGATTTATTATTATTACTATTTAAATGATCTGCTCATGTGGATGTGAAGTTGTACCTCAAGGTCAAAGGAACTGTTTAAGTATTTGGTAGATGTTATAATATTGAGTCATCTGTGGTTTAATTGCTTGTGCTCTGTCACCTGAGGCAAACTCCAGTTTTAGAAAGCTGGGATACTGTAGAAATACGTCGCCTTCCTCAGTTTTAGAGTACAAAAAATAGAAAAAATAATGGGAGAGAAATTGCCTTTTTATATATTCTCTGAAATAAAAATAATTAGTTTTGCCAATTACTGATGTAGTATGTTTTTAATTAGCTTATGCTGACAAGTCTCCTTCTGTGCTGAAGACTCGAGCCTTTGAGAAGTTTTTCATTCAACGCATTGAGCTGTATGATAAGGTAGAAAAAAAATCTACTGTCAATTATACAGCCTTATAAGATGTTGCCTTTTTTCAGTCTTTATTATGTCTTATGTAAATAATTTCCTAAGCATTAGATACTTGCTTTTATGGTTTGAAGACTGTTTTATAACTTTAACTGTTTCACAGGATGAAATAGAAAGAAAAGGAAGTATTCTGGTGGATTATAAAGAACTCATTGAAGATGGGGACCTAACCAAATCGATACCAGATATATCTACTGAATTAAGGGATATGCCTCAGCAAATACTGCAATGCATGGGCTTGGCAATTCACCAGGTAAATATGAACTTCTAATACATAAAAGCTGAGGCCCTTCCATCTCATGAAAGGGAATCAGTGGGACTTAAAGGCAATTATAGTTTAAAAATGAATATTTGTTTTTTTTCTAACTTTGAGTAAACAGTATGTATTTAATGAAGAAAAAAACCCCTCTTCCCTCTCTACCTCTTCTGCATGCCCTTCAAAATCATATTTTGTAAATGCTTTCATCTTAGTGTGTTTTGCTTGTTCGCTTTCCAGCTAATTGACTAAGATTAAGCAAGGTTCTAATACAGGAATTAGAATTTTATATTGCGTAAGTTTGATTAGCAAAGGGAGTTACCTGAGCTGTTTGTCCTACTTCATGTAGCAGAACCATGGCAGGTATGTGAGTGGGGAGATCCTGGTTGTGTCCTATGCCTCTTAAGAAGCAGCACTTCCCTGCTTTTTGACAGACAAGTGCTCCTTATTTATTTATTTATTTATTTATTGTAGTGAGATTTCTTTATTTTAAAGAGGTGAGGGCTACAACCATTCAGACCAGGAAAATACTCTTTAGCTGGGGTCCCTGGACAGCCTAGTGCTCTTGAGACTTGAGCAGGTCTAATAGTAGTCAATGGTAATCAAACTTAAAAACAAATTCAATCAATATTGTATAATTTACTACATTTGTGTCTGTCCTTCTGCTCTCTAGGTGTTAACAAAGGACCTTGAAAGACATGCTGCTGAGCTGCAGGTGGAAGAAGGATTACCACTTGTTGGAGAACCTATAATAAACGTGCCACAAATTCATGCCAGGTAATGGGTGTTGTGTATTTATTTGGCTGTTTGCAGGAAGATCTAATTGCTTCTTGTGTACTGGTTGTCAATACCCATGAGCTGAAAGCTGGCTGCTTATTTAGTTGTTTATTCGCGAGAATTTGTTAAGCTATTCTCAGAAGAAGAGTCCATGTTTCGGCTCACAATGAGGTGGGGGAAAAAAATGAAACCTTATGAGCTGAAGAACCAGCTGTTGTAAGCAGAAAATTAAATTGTAAAATGAAAAACTGCAATACCAATTGATTTTAAAAAAGAGAAATGTGTATAGATTTATTCTGCTTAACAGAGAAGTTGATTTGCTGTGGACCTAAAGCAAAATTGATAAAATTTATCATTCCCTATGCGGGTGTTTGGATGATGGTATGAGGCTGTGTTATTTCATATTACCTTAAATCTGTTAAAGGGTTACCTGTAGAACTTACCAATAATGTAAGGTGTTATTAATTAAACTTTAGTTTGAAATGAAGTAGGTGAAGTTAAGGCAATGCTAATTCTGCATAAAAATGTTTTACAAGAACCATAGTAATTACTATCTTCACTTTAAAGCTGTGACCTCCTTAGGGAACTAAAACAAATGATTAGCAAGGGTGAGCTTAGCTGTCTGTGGAGTTTGGAAATCATGGAGTCTTAGGCCTTGGGAAATGAGGAACGGGCCTTTTGAACTCTATTTCAGTAGACCCGATATGGGAGAGCAAGGATCTTTTGGCACAGCAGGTGGATTTAGTTAAACTGTTGGATTCCTCAGACACTGATATATTTTAATCTTTGCATTGTTATAAAACTGCACCCTTTAGCCAGTAGAATGTGTCTAGGAAAAACTGTCCAGGAAAGAACCTGGGAGCTGGCATATACCTAAGGGAAAGTTAGGTATCAATGAAGTGCCTTGCTCATAAAAAGGATGTTAGGATTTTTTTATTATTCTATACAGAATGTAAAGAGGTTTGCTTTGTCCTGTGTAAATAAAGGAGTGGACCCCTAGGACTGAAAATCAAGGGAATATAATTGAAAGCAACTTCTTTTAGATAGTGATTACGCAGACACTCTAGATCATGTGGGTTTGTATCACCTACTGTATTTTTTTGAGATCTCTCTATTTGAAATCATTTGGTTCTCCAGCTTCCACAGGGCTGAAGTGTGTTCTGAATGTTTTTGTTGGTTGTTCTTGGGCCTGAAGATCACCTTGTTATGCCCCTGAAACATGTAAATGCAGCCTTTGTTTTGAAGTGCAAGTAAAATAAATCTTTGAGCTCTGGTTTTAAACTGGAATTAGTCAAAGAGACAGTTATATGTGACTATAGGTTATTTTCCACTGTATTATTAGCCTGAGATGTTTATGGGTGGGAGGTACCTGTGCTGCCCTCCTGTATATGTAAACTGGAGTGTAACACCTGGAATATATTTAGCATTAGGAAGCTTTCTAGAACAGGAATCAAATCCTGTACCACGGGTCTGTAGCTAAAGTCACTGTCTAATTTTTGTTTGGATCCCTGCTACTAGTTTGCATGTAAACATCTGTGTTTGTTTAAGGATAATGAGCTTTCCAAATGCTAATGCTTCATTTTTATGTAGGGTGTACAACTATGATCCACTAACTCAGCTGAAAAATGTTCGGGCCAACTGCTATGGGAAATACATCGCCTTGCGTGGTACCGTTGTGCGTGTCAGTAACATTAAACCTCTCTGCACCAAGCTGGCCTTTGTATGTGCCACATGTGGAGACGTTCAGGGAGTTCCTCTCCCTGATGGGAAATACACCCTTCCAACTAAAGTAAGTTTAAATCATCTAAATGGGTGTTTTTTCCCTTTTGCTTTTCTGTCAGGTGCGGTAAAAGACACACTGCTGATGTTTAGACTGAAACACAAAGCAAAAATTGCCACGTGTTTTGGTATTGTTGCACAACTTCATTATTGGGGCAGAGTATAAAAACTTGCGCAAAACTTGCAGAAAAATCTTTTCTCTGTTACGTTTCAGCAGTCGCTTCTGAAAAGGCCTTTGCACCTCATTGTGGTGGTTTTCATGATTAGATTAGCTTTTTTGTGGCTTTGCTTAGAACTTCCTCTTTTAACTTTTGAATCCAGATAAACAATGAAATTACTAGTCAAGACTGTGTGGTCATTTTTATGTAACCTGATTGTGCCCAAGTGAAAAACCATCTCCTCTGGCAAATCTTGGTGTTGTGGTGAGTAGGTAGTGGTGGATCATTAAGGAGATAATGCAGAGCAGCTCTATTTGCTGTGATAATTAGGAACCAGAGTTTAGGTGTCTGTGCTGGATGATTCTTTATCACACATTTTCTAATGTGCATCCTAGTTTAACCTTTTGTTTTTCCCATGATACACTTTTAATGGGTTGAATTATTTATTTTTATTTTCTTTTTTAATTGCTTCACTTGATTTAAAAGGGGGGAAATGCTATCAAAAAGACTGGTTAAAGCTGAGAATGAGTTGAAATTAATATTCTTACAGTGCCTTGTTCCTGAGTGCCGGGGCCGGTCATTCACAGCAGACAGAAGCTCTCCTTTAACCACTACAGTGGACTGGCAGTCTATTAAGTAAGCATTTTAATGCATCTCTTTTTTCACCTCTGCACAAAAAAATCTAATTCAATAGAGTAGGCAAAAGTGAAAGGATTGCTCATTACACATTGTGTAAGTGCAAACACCTTATTCTTTTACACTAAGTATTGCTAGAGAAAATTGCTTCAAAGTGGTGGTTTTCTCAGAGAACTTGGGTACCTTAAATACTACCCCTACTCAGTATATCAGTTTCTTCATCTTATCTTGAGCAACTTCATTGAGAAATGTCAGTTCAGGCTCTATGCAGCTTTTCTGTTGTTTTTAGTTACATCTATTATTCAGTAATTGCTTTTAATGAACTACAAGTCATCTAGGAAAACCCTATTACATTATGTTTGTTAGCTGCAGCAGCTGAGCTGAATGAACTGAATATAGTCTTAAATGTTAAAAATTTCAATTTAAAGTAATATTGGTTGTGAACCTTAAATCCTTGATGCATGCTTAATAGGAGGAAATAATACTGGGGCTGCTGTTCATCTCCTTTGTATGCCTAATTAAAAAAAAAAGTGAGTATGGCTCAAAGTGAGATCTTTATTCTGGGGAATGTTCTGCTGCTGCCATGAAATTAAAGTGCAGGAAAGAGGGCAGTAGAGCTGTTTTTCATTGCTAGTGTAGCAGGATCATATTATGTTCTATTTATGCTACATTATTTCTTGTCTGTCCCCCTATCTTATTGCAAGTGGGGTGTCAGCTTGGAAGATGGACTCTCTGTTTCTACTTCCTGCGCTCAGATTGCCTAAGTTCTCGTGCTCTGTTTTAGTGTGCACTTTCTTTAGTAAACTTAAGGAGAGCACTGAAAAAATGACAGCAGCTCTAGAGAGTGCTGTTTAATGCAACTTCTTTAGGAAAGTTTTACTCTGAGATTAAAGCACAGACCCCAGACTGGAACCACTTAGAGAACTTGGCAATTGTTACCTTTTTACAGCTATGCCAAGTGCCTGTTCTTGCTGTGGTCGGAGGGACTTTCTTGAGTTTTGCAGAGCTTATTCTTCTATCAGAATTGCCAGCTGCCTTCATCAGAGCCGTAATATTTGACCATTTAGCTTCATATACAGAATAATATTATCTCATGTAGCGTATTTATTCCTATGCCAATGTGTTTGGCAGGTCTAGGAAATTTAAAATTATTATTTCTGGAGTTTGTCATTGTCTTTCATGGGTTTATATGTAATAAGTACCTGTTTAAAGTTCTAGCTGAAAAAAAAAGCCTCAGCACTTCCAAATTCAGTGTTGCAGTTTCTAGCCCTTAAGTTTGTCATTGTCTTTCATGGGTTTATCTGTAATAAGTACCTGTTGTTTAAAGTTCTAGCTGAAAAAAAAGCCTCAGCGTTTCCAAATTCAGTGTTGCAATTTCTAGCCCTTATTGAGGGTGTTATGTGCTGTCTCCCTTTTTGGTAGAGAAAGGGTTGGCTTGAAGTGCCCATGTACAGACTCCTTGTGCCAAAACTGAGCTGGAAACGTGGGCTAATACCTCGTGTATTGCAGGGTGCAGGAGCTCATGTCCGATGATCAGCGAGAAGCAGGTCGAATCCCTCGCACGATAGAGTGTGAGCTGGTGCAGGATCTTGTGGACAGTTGTGTCCCCGGAGATATGGTCACCATCACAGGGATAGTTAAGGTGTCAAGTGCTGAGGAAGGTAAAATAAACCATCTCAAACATCCTTTTCTCTGCGAGGACTTTCTTGTGCTTACACAGTAATATAAAAACAGGCTTACCTCTGAGCTCTTGGAATTATAAATTCTTTAAGCATATATTTCTTCAGGAATTACAAAAATTCCATTAATTGCTTGAAAGAGGAAGAAGCAGTGCTGCTCAGGTCTCTGGTCTGTACATAATTATGATCCTGAATCTGAATTTCTAGCACTAACATCAAGTGAATTGGTGATAAAAGTCTTTTGGGCCCGCTAAGGTTGGAGGGGGACACCTTATTTCCAGAAGTCTCAGTGAGACAGGTTACCTGTCTTCGATTTTCATGCACCTTTTAAACTATCATGCTGTTGCAAAGGCATGTTACCTTTCTCAGCTTATTTCTCTTTGGGGAAATCTTGTGATGGCTTCTCTTTTCAAAAATCAGTAAGCACATATTCCAAACAGCTATTACAGAACATACTGCAGAACCTGCAACTGTGGTTTGCTGTGAAACTGCATTCTCTGTTCAGTAATCATTCTGTTAAGGTTATAGGAATATTAATTACAGTACATGTTTAAATCTTCTACTCTGTAGATTTTTTTTCTGTAAATACCAGAGTGAAAATTTTGCATATGATTCTTATTTGACTAGAATTTATAACTCTTGGATTTTTTTTCCTTTATAGGAGAAAATTGTGTTACAAGAACTAAATGCATGCACATAAAATCTCAGATATGTAGGTGTGTACACACACACACATAAATATATGGAGGGGAAGTGTCTGTCTTCCAAAATGGCAAAATACTTTACCATGTACCTAAGTGAGTGAACTCAAAGAAGAAATGTCATTAGAAACTTCTACATTGCATTAATTTTTGAAAATAGAGGTATTCGACTATGTGTATATAAACAACTTTTATTTTGCACATGACCATACTTAATAATTCTGAATTATGCTCAGCTGCTTGTCAGTGACCTCAGTGTTTAAAGATATAAAAATATCCCTTCATTCTGTGTCATCTCTCTAACAGGAGCTTCTAAAAATAAGAATGACAAGTGTGTGTTCCTGTTGTACATTGAGGCGAATTCTATCAGCAACAGTAAAGGGCAAAAAATCAAGAATTTTGATGATGAGACTTTTCAAAGAACATTCATGGAATTTTCTCTTAAAGACCTTTATGCTGTTCAGGAAATTCAAGCTGAGGAAAATCTGTTCAAGCTCATTGTGAAGTAAGTTGTGTCAGTCAGTAGAATTAACTTGCTGACAGCTGATCTGATATACTGTAAGCTATGAAATACTGCACAAGGAACAGGCATTATGGTACAGAGATTTAGCAAACTG